TTTTTTTTTTTCTGGCAGTTCACAGCAGTGGACTGAGAAAGATCAGTCTGAGTCTTTTTCTGACTGATTTTCAGGAATGTTTCTTGGAGGAGTATAATTGCTGATGGGGGCAAGAGTTTTGCAGCAAAAGTTCGGGCCCGACTGACAGTCAAGCCTTCTGAACGAAGTCGTCAGCGCCATCCAGGGTTCCCGGGCCGTAACGCAGGGTAGCTTCAAGAGGGGGTAATATCTCATGTATCTTTTCGCTGACGGGCCCACCGGGTCCATATCCGTTCTTCGGATCATCAGTCTGGTACCTATTCGACTGGCCAAGACTGATGATTTCAAGAACAGATATGGGCCCGGCAGGCCCGTGAGGACCTGTTTCATTGCAAAAAAAAGAAAAAAAAAAAGGTTTCTGTGGACTACCATCTTCACCAGAGTAGAATGTACATTCAGTATACCTATATCGGGACTAAAAGTTGCCCCAAATACCGGCATAATGACCGACCATACGCCAAGGAAAAACAAAATGGCATTTGATATCCACATGCCATTCTTTTTTCTGTTGAAGAACTCTAACGTCGCTTCAGATTTCTATTCTGTAAAGAAGTTGGAAGACTGTCCAGATGAAAAAGGGAGAGGGAAGAGGTGGAGACATGAGAGTGGGGAAAGGGGTTAAATTGGGTAGGGAGAAGCCCACAGGCCACCCAGGTAGAAAATTCCGACCCTCGAATTGATAAGCGACACTACGCATTCCATAAAAAGTCCAACCCCAAAGCTCTCTGAGCCTTAGCCTCCCCAGCTGTAGCCTGTAGCCAACGCTCCCTTTTTTTTTTTTTTTTTTTTTTTTTTCCCATTCATATCATTTACCCCGTCTTTCGCAAACGATAGCACAGTCTTTACGTCGTTCACACCGTTCAAGTTGTCGCAGTGGACGATAGTGACAAACGCCAGCACAGGACTGACCAAAACGTCGACACAACTGTACGAGATTGTTTCGCATATATCTATAGCACTTTACGTCATTCACACCGATGGCGCAATGGAGAGGATAGTGACAAACGCCATCACAGGACTGACCAAGACGCCGACACGTAACTGTACGAGATCGTTTCACATATATCTTTGCCGTATTCCGTATCGGTATATGTGTTGGCAATTTGATCAGTCCTGCGCTGGCGCTTGTCAGTTAATCTTCCACACTTTAATTTACATCATTGAATGATCACTCACCCTGTTGTTCAAACCACCACTGTGACAGTGCTGTCCATATAGAAGAAGTCTAGTATGGGGATTTATAGCATTCGCGGCCGAGTCCAACAAACCATCCTTTTTTTTCAAACTGCTGTGAGCTGCTTGCAAAAGGCTACAATTGAAATGAAATAGCAGACTCTGAGGTCTACAACCCTTCCACAAGGAGCAGCCTACAGACAGCAATTCAGAAAAAAGAAAAAAGAAAAAAATCTACAGAATCTCCAGACTCTGTCGTTCCTCGTGATTTTGCGGAATGGACAAATTTGAAATTTCCCAACTGCAAAAATTCAACCACTTGTTGCTGAACAAAAAGTGACAGGTCTTTCTTTTTTTTCTTTCTTTTTTTGGGGAAAAAAAAGGTCTTTTTTGTAAGGACAGAATAAGCACAAGAAAGAAGAAGGCCGTGATCAATCGAAGTCGAAGTCCTGCCATCGAGTCCGTGCTCTCTTTCAAGGCTTTCATGCGAAGTTCTTCAGCTCGTCGTTGTAGCCTGCAACACTCTGATGTGACGGGAAACACGACCTTCAAGAAACTCGTGTACACTGGAAATCATTACCTCCCAGAATGGCCCTAGGTTAACCCTAAACAAGCCTACATAAACCTACCCAACCCTAAACAGAGCCGAGCTGCCCTGAAGTAAAAAGACACCACCCTGCACCCCCCCCCCCCCTTTCACAGAATTCTTCACAATCCGACTTCTGTCGAGCAGAGCCTCCCATTACACCCACCATGTGAAATGCTGCAAGAATGAACTCAACTCCTGAAATATAGTCACTATGATCACTGATTCCGTCAACAAACCACTTCTAAGCACCAAAAAAAAAAAAAAAAAAAAAAAAAAAAACGATTCCGTCAAAAAAACAAAGTAACGCAGTGCATTGTACAAGAGACTACGAATTACTGGGAACACAAATGAGGAGGTGGCTGGCAGAGCGAGATGATTGGGTGGAGGTGGGGTGGGGGGGGTGGGGGGGGGGGGGGGAGCGCAGGGGGTGCTCAAGGAACTGGCGGGCATTAGCCATTCGGACCGGATGGACATCATTAACCAACCTCCACCACAGAGCTTGCCAACGACGCGGCGGTCATATCGACCGACGAGTGGTACCATAATTTCCGCTGCTATTTCCCAAACCTTACGCGTTTTTTTTTTTTTTTGGGGCAAACATCGGCAATGAGGCGTAGAGGGGGAGTGCTGGTAAGAGCAGACACTCCCTCTACACTCCCGTACTTGGATGGCTCCGTTCCATCGGTGGGGAGCTGCACCTGCTGGAAACCGGGTCCAGCGTCCCTTGACATCAAATACCGGTGCCTGAAACAAATGGGTTACTGCAGAACACTTAGTTATGTCATATATTAGCAGATCTTGTGACTCTGTGGTGACTGGTGAACACTTAGACAGGGAGGTACACGTTATGCTCCTGATTTGCAATTGCCCGCTAGCACATCGAGGCTGTAAGTATTAGCCCTATACCTCACCAACCTAAAGGCGTGCATCAGCAGTTGCCATAGAATGGAAGTCTGCGGCTAGACAATGAGTCTGCCATTACAGCTGGCCTGATGAAACAGACTCTCATCACCTCCCCTCGCTTGGGGGGTCTTAAGAGGTCATATCACTCTTAGCTGGCTGCGTCTCTTCCTCTGTCGTATTCAGAAACAGCAACCTCCGTCGTAGCCTTCTCAACAAGCCTTCCTCCAGAGAAGATTTTTCCACATCAAGAAATCCTTCTGCAGTGTGTATCACTGCGCTGTTGCCGTCGCGTGAACTCAAGAATTTCGCTTCGCTTGGTCCCTTTCTGCCACCAGCCTTGTCGACACGTTGAGAGGGGTATTGGGTTCTTCTCACCGCACACAGTCTGACTTGATATTGTGCTCTCAAAATGCAATAACATGCATCGATAGCACAGCACACAGCCTTGTCCATCTCTCTCCAGGGTTGCACGCAGAGAAGAAGCAGGTCTATGGACCACCTGCCCGTGCTGAATGATGCGAGTCTTTACGACCAGCCACTCGACTTTTCAGGTTATTACCGTAACTGATAGAATGCCCGTGGTGCATGTGACGGACGCGGGTCATGCTAACTTAGTGCGCCGGCCGGCCAAAATAAAATCTGGGTGTATTCACAGGTTCACTGAAATTTAGAATTTACTACAAAAATGGTCGCGTTATTTATTCTCTACTGTCTAACAATCGCAATGACAAGTGGCAGTCCTATGTAGTGAAAAGATACGACTCGTGGCCATATGTCATGCCTTACCAGAGACGGCTGTTATTGCAGGCATCACCTGTTTGTTCACCATTTTCGCAGATAAGAACTGCGCACACATTTGCAGCTTGCGTCATACCCCTCCCTCCCCCCACCAACAAAACCCCACCCCTTTTTTTTTTTTTTTAGCCCTTGTGCAAGGCCTCACCCCATCCTGCCCATCCTGCATGTCTTTATCCTGTCAAAATTTCTCACCCTTTTGGCATAATATGAAAACAGATCTCTCAAAACGAATATGAAAACAGATATCTTAAAACGAATCTTTCCACTACAACCTCCTCCTTCCCACACACACTTCACCAGGCAATCCCCTCTACCCACTGGTCTCCAAGTCTCCCTGTACATGTGCCACGTGCACACACACACACACACACACACACACACACGCCCACCCACCCACCCACCCACCCACGCACACACACACACACACACACACACACACACACACACACACACTCGCTATCACAGTGCAACTTCCTGATGAGTCTGTGGAAGTCCTACGAAACACTCTGGCACAGTCACGAAACTGTCATGACCCCCTTTTTTTTCTGTGGAGCTGTGTATGGAAAACACGACAACACAAACACACACACATACAAAGGAGAAGAGTGCTTCCATCTCATGCTTTTCCCAGAAAGCGAGCAATCTCAACGAGGGCGATTTCACCCCTTATAACCTGGAAGAGACATTCTTCTCGTGCACCTCGTCTCGGACGTGGAGTCGTCAAACTCTTCCTCCCCTTGGAAGGCCCATGAGCTTTGGCTCCGTTCGCAGCAGCGCATGTGCAGCGTAACATCCTTCTTGCTGTGCGACTCCCTATGATCCCATCGGAAAACTGATTGTGGCCGAAAGACGATCTGTCATCACTCTCCGAATCCAATCATATTTATTGTTCACCGCAATCCGTCACGTTATCACATTGACCCTCACCTTCCTTCAGATGCCAGCCAGGTTCATTGTCTTACAGACAAAACCACGAACCAGTCGATAACCAGAATACTGATCGCGGTAAATCCCGTCATTCCTCCTCCAGCTATCTCCTAAACATCCATAACATTCTTCCCCTGACATCCTCATGATCACTAAAAGTCTAAAACCACTCAATAATCGGCACGTCGAACATCAGGCATTGCAGCATATCCGTATGCGCTTCACATGTCTTCCTCTGTCCACAACCTTTCCGTGCTAGACAGTCAGAAACCGCTCTTTTTTTTTTTTTTTTTTTTTTCTGTAATCAAAACACTGAGCGAAATCAACCCCGTTCATACTGACCGACCTTTCTCACCCTCTTGGCTAAAAATAGATCAAGTGTAGAGAATCTGTTCCGGTCATTTTAATCTCTGATCTGTGGTCCATTAGAATCTTTGAGTGCATCTGATTCTGCAAGCGCGTCCAGAGCTGAGTCAAAAAACTTGAAAAAAGTGCAACAAAAAAAAAAAAAAACTTCAAAAAAGTGCAAAAAAAGAAAAAAAAAAAGAGAATCTTTCAAAAGAAAGGACGAAGGAGATCCCATTCTTCTTCTTTTTCTTCTTCTTCTTCCTTTTTTTTTTTTTTTTTTTTTTTTTTTTTTTTTTTTTTTTTTTTTTTTTTTTTTTTTTTTTGCAGCATAGCCATGGCCTATCGTTCCTTGAACAACTAACTTCACTCACATGTCTTCTGTTGTCATCCTGAAAATTTCTTTCGCAGGTTTCTGCATTTTTTCGCACCGTTTTCCTATATGATCAGTTCTTTGTTGTACAGGCTATAGACCACATAGCAAAAAAGAGATTGGAAATACAGAAACACGGTTCTACTGAGCTAAGGGACGCGGACGCATTGGCCGGTCATCTTCTCTCGCCTATTATTGGAGTATAGCCAAGTGGAGAGGCGATCGGTCATATCGATATTATACTGACATCTGACATGTAAAGGTTTTGAATTCGGAATCGTATTACAAAGAGAGCGATTAATCATTCCAGTTCAATTTCCATTCCGAACTTTCGAGGGCTGATGTGGTAGTACCGTAGTACCGTAGTTTATGAAAAAGAGAAGAGACCCGATCTGCGGCAAGTTTCTTCGGAAGTTGTTGTACTCCGTCCATCCTCATATTAGGTGCTTTGACCTTCTTATGGTTCTTTGACCTTCTTATGGTGCTTTGACTTTGACTCTCGCACGTTGACCTTTTGCATGTTGACCTTTCACAGTGCTTCCCACTGATGAAATTGTGCCCAGATGCGCAACGCAGCTCAGAGATTTTGACTTTGATTTTGACCTACTCGTGCTACATCCTCCTCATAGGGTGCTTTGGGCTTCTTATGGTTCTTTGACTTTGACCTTTCACAGTGCTTCCGGCTGATGAAATTGTGCCCAGATGCGCAACGCTTAGAGATTTTGACTTTGACTTTGACTTTGACCTACTGGCGCTACATCCTCCGCTCATAGGGTGCTTTGGACTTCTTATGGTGACTTTGACCTTTTGCAGTGCTTCGCACTGATGAAATTGTGGCCGGATGCCCAAAGCTCAGAGATTTCAACTTTGACTTTGACTTTGACCTGCTCGCGCTACATCCTCCTCCTAGGGTGCTTTGACCTTCTTATGGTGCTTTGACTTTGACCTTTCGCAGTGCTTTGCACTCAGCTGTTGAAAGTTGAAGCTGTGCCCGGCTGCTTGTGCTCAGAGATTTTGACCGTGAAGGAGCGACGAACCCACTGTCATTCCATTTTTTTGGGGGGAGGAAACAACGTGGGATCATCGACACACAACCAACATGATGAGTCCTCTACTCAGCCTCACATCATAGTTTGTCCATCTGGCTAAGATCGGCATTGAACAAACCTTGTCCATGGAATCCTTGGGACGTCAGAAACATTGTCGGGTTCGGTTTCGGCACTTTGAAGTTGTCCCGCTGTCCGCTGCGGTTCGCAGGTGCCGACGATGACGATGTCAGCTCGCATGCAACAACTTGTTCACAAGTATGGGTAAATGCACCGCACTGCAGCGCGGTGTACTGCTCCCTCACCGGCCCGCACACTTGGCAGCGAGGACTCTGACACATTCGGTGATGCAGAAGCAATGCTGTCAGTCCCGCACAAAGAGGAAAATCGCACTCTGCCTTTGACTTTCTGCAGCCATTAATGTGATTGCACAGCTGCCGTGCTCGCCTGCAGGTTACCTGACCTGCACAAGCCGGATTTCCTGTCGCGCACACATCACGGACAGTTCGTCACCGCAGCAACACACCAACGGATAAGCGATTGAATTATGTAACTCAAATTTGCCAATGTGCTCAACATCTAGGTAAGTTGATCCAAGGAGGAGAGGAGGAGAGGAGGAGAGAGGAGGAGAGAGGAGGAGAGAGGAGGAGAGAGGAGGAGAGAGAGGAGGAGAGAGGAGGAGAGAGGAGAAGAGAGGAGGAGAGAGGAGGAGAGAGGAGGAGAGAGGATTCTCAACAAGAGAGAAGTCAAATTCAACGAACTTAGTTCTCTGGACTGCCCCTTGTCGCACAGGGAATTGAGTGAAGTTTTCTCTATGCTAGAAAGAAGGCAGAGCGAAGGGAGAGGGGTGTATTTTGTTGGGTCTCTTTATGATGCTCATTCATCTGCCTAGATTAGTGGTTCTGCAGAGAGATGGAGGACAGCGAAAGAGACGAGGAGGGATATGGGGGGACGAAGGAACAGAAGAGGGGAAAGACGGAACTTCACAGGGTCCTCAGTACGCACAGGCAGGGATGGAAAAATATTTGGGTTTCCGGGAAAAATAGTTGAAGAGTGGGTGTTGCTCATGATAAGCGGCCACCCCTGCAGACTGGACAGGAGTGTGTGTGTGTTTTAGATTTTCATACCAACAACCCCTGTTCCACCCACATGAGTGTGTGTGTGTGTGTGTGTGTGTGTGTGTGTGTGTGTGTGTTGTGTGTGTGTGTTGTGTGTGTGTGTGTGTGTGTTAAAAGACCCCAAATTCTCTCTCTCATTTCATCCACGAATCATCACAAACCATCCCTAAAACAAAAAAGGTATCGATGGACAGTATAGTAGAAGATGCAAGGTTGGCCGCGTTTGTGTGGTTAAGCGCCAAGTGCCCACACATCCATCTGCTGCCAGAGCGGCGCACTTGCACATATATATTATAAGCTATAAAAGGATGGACGGCATAAGAGGCAACACACTTACCGAACGACGATCACAAAAAAAAACAAAAAAGAAATTGCACTATAAGGTCCATAACACAAAAGGCTCCACTAACAGGAAAGCACCGACCACATCCGCGCGAACAGTCGAAAAAAACATAAATAGAGAGCCCTCTGAGTCAGCCTACAAAGCCGCCACAAATTGAACAAACACTACAGGACCTGTACACAACCCCAAGAGTGCTATGAACCTCCCCCTCCCGCACAACCTGCAGAATCAGATGATCTCATAGTGCTACAACAAGGCCACTACGAGTACTATGCCAAACTCCACGTGTCTTAGATCTCCCCGCGACACCAGGAGCACTTAGCCTACTGCTTAAAACACCCTACAAGCTTCTCTCCCATTTCTTCCATCTGCTCCAAAAGAGCGGCCCGTGGGAATGACACCCATAGCAAACACTCTCTGAGCCTCCTCGTGATGATACCGTGGCCAAAACTGCAAACATTCCCAAGCATTCCTTCATCGAAAAAGACAGCCCGTGCTGCACAGCAGGGCAACCCCTTTTCCACCCAGATGAGTAGATCCAACAGCTTTACCTATCAATCTTCTAAACAGTGAACACAAAGCACACTGAAACCATTGTATTGCCACAGTGACTTCCTTGTGCACTTCTTTCTTGGCTTTCCTTACTTTCGTCTTCTCTTTTCTATTCCTTCTTGCCGTTCCCCTTTTAGTGTGCTTCTCGCGTACAAGGCTCGCCATGTGGATGTGTGCATGTGTGTGTCCGTGTGTGTGTTCGTGTGTGTTCGTGTGTGTTCGTGTGTGTTCGTGTGTGTTCGTGTGTGTGTGTGTGTGTGTGTGTGTGCGAGTGTGTGTGTGTGTGTGTGTGTGTGTGTGTGTGTGTGTGTG